ACACATTGCAGTCTTCATCACTGTGAAGGAGTGAGTGCTCACTTACAATTTCAAGGTTCACCAAAAATGCTGCTCTTTAATGCCTGCCTGCTTCATACCATAGCATGTCCATGATTGCTCAGATGCTCCTCTACCACTTGATAACTTTCCTCTTATGAATTCCAACACTTTTTACCCATACTTGTGTAAGAGGGGACACACACACACACACACACACACACACACACACAATGGATTGATTGATCAGCGATTGCTGATATGCTCTCCTGCGGACAAACCCAGAGTTCGGATATGGAGCAAACAAAATGACAGCAATGTTGGCTCAACCTTTACTTGGTGGAGAGTTCAAGCACTCAAATCTCCTGGGAACTAGATGCACGGAGACAATTACTCTCTCTCCCTCCACAGATACTCATGGTGGACTCTTGTTCCAGCCCCTTCATCCCCTCCCGATGGCCTCCCTGCACTGTGCGGACAGAGCCTTGGACTCCAGTGCATGTGACCTTGGATTATATCTGTATTGAACACGTACAACGCATAGGACTTCAGTCCCTAGGACCTTGCATGGGTGGCGAGACTCTGCATCTCTCTTGGCTCGAATTTCATGTCAAATGCTTCATGCAAAAGAGGCTCTCGGAGGGTGGGAAACTGTTCATGAAGGTTCTGCGCAGCTGCTCCCAGCTGCTACAAAATTCTCCTCTCAGGAACTGAAAGTACCTCTGCTTGATTCGCCTCTCCAGTGGCCTCAAGCAGACAAGGCCCCAATCGTTAGAACATAACGTTTTGAATATTGATGGAAGGAAAGAACACTAACTCCAAGCTCAGTGACCTCTGATTTGCTCTGTGCCAGGCCACAAAGCCATGCTAGGGCTGGCCTTCTCTCTGATACTTCCTGGTCTTCACTAAAGCAAAAAAAGTAAAACACAGGAAGGAGGTGTGATCAGCTAAAAGACTGGAACAATGTGGGCTTCCTACTCTATGCCAAATAAGACCGAAATGCTTGTATGTACGTATGGATAGACAGATAGACAGACACATAGTAGGGCCTCTGTATCCACAGCATTTGCATTCATGGAATCAACCAACTATAGGGCATAACAATCTAGAAAAACTCCATCGGAATTAAACATGTATGGACTTCCTTTTCATTATTCCCTAAATGGCTCTGTATAATAAGTATGTACATAGTTGTAGATATTTAAAATATTCCGGATATGATATAAAGTGCACAGAAGGATGTATGTAGGTTATATATGGTGTAATAGGAATATTACACCCATTTTAATGAAAGACTTGAGCATCTAAGGAGGTAGGAATGTACTGGGAGTCCGGGGACAATTCTTCACATTATTTTCAGAGGTTGCATATAAGAATAATATCACATAGTTATATATTATGTATCATTATATATGTTATATATGTTACGTTACATACATATTATATATCGTTATATATTACATGTGTTATTTATATATTCCTTCTAAGATGAGACAGCTATTTATAATATCTTTAAAGGCATTAAATACTTTACCAATTGGTGTGGTTCTGTCTTAGAAGTGAAAATACAGCATACCTTCATTAGTGAAGGTCTGATAGATAGGGAGGCCTCATTAAATTCTGGGCTCACCTGCTCAGAAACCCCAGTCGAGACAATTCAGTCTTGGCTTCCAGTAAAGATCTCAATATTCCAGAGCAACCACAATCACTTCCCCAGTTCCTTTATGAACTCACCACACGCACAATGGAGACAGACTATGCATCACAGCAGATTGCTTTCCCAGGACACACAAGCGGCAGACATTTGTTGCGCTGATATCATTGTCTGCTAAATTAAGTAAGGAGGAATGTTTTTGAAACCCATCAGGGTGAAGTTTCATACCAGGAAACTCCACAGACCTGTCCTCAATTATTAGAACAAATCTGCACACCTAGAGAAATTTGGTGGGGGAATTTGTTGAGGATATTAAAACAGTTTAAACAAGAGGAGCAACAGCCTTTCTCCAAAAGTGTTTTTGAAGAAGAAATTTGTGTCTTATTTTTTATTATACATTTTCTGCAATCAAGGGCTTATTACTCTACTCTCCAGACATCATTTATAAGACATTTCAGTTTCTTTCAAGTGAAGGAAAGGAGTAGAAATATCTTAATCTTAGCAGCAAGCTTTTCTCTGAAACTCTCAAAGAGATTTTCTTCAAACTTCACAGCAACTTTTCTCCCTTTGTACGGACAGTAGGGGGCACTACCACAGCAAACTGTTATGCATTATGGGAAATAGATTCCACTAAGAGTAGAAACAAGAAAAAAAAAAGAAGAAGAAAAGACTAGATACTTGGGGGTTCCTCCCATGTCAACACATCTACAAATATTATACAGATTTTTACCTTTTGTAATCCACATTGGGGTGTGAATATCAGGGTGTGTGTGTGTGTGTGTGTGTGTGTGTGTGTGTGTGTGTGTGTGTGTGTGTGTGTGTGTGTGTTACAAACCTTACATTGTAAATTTTGGGAAACTCAGGAAGATCTAATCAGATCCTCTGTTCTAGAATGTTAGCTAAGTGTAAGTAGCTAAAAATGGACTTAGTAGTTAAGAGACTTTCTGTGTGAGATGTATACACACACACACACAGTTAAATCTTCAGTCTGTTCTGCAAACATCAAACTCTGACTTCAGAGCCAAGATAAAAAAAGAAAAATGTGGGAAAATTTCATTGAATAATCATATAATAATCCAGACCCCATAGGTTGGAGTTTTAAAATAAGAGTTCCCTGTGTAATTGAGTTCAGCTTAAATTTATGCATTCAATTAAAAGAAAAACCAAAACATTGGGAATGGTAAAAACAAAGACATTTTCTCCAACACTTGGAAAATTAGATTCAGCAAACCATGAAGTCTACTGTGCAGTTATTTTTGTAACCATCATAAATTGCTTTATAGAACTCCTCTGCCCGAGTAAACAATCTAAGCAGAGATTTACTTTATAGCATGCATTTAGTTTCCAAAGGACAGAGCGGCCTCAAAGTTTATGGCTCCTTTTCTTTCCTTTTTTTCCCCCTCCCCAACTACTTGTGTTTCCAGTTACCTTGAAACCTTTCTACTCTTAGAGGAGTTTAGAAAGTTCTACAGAAAATATAATCCAGGTTTGCAGATCTACTATAGTCTCAGATACTCATTGCTGGGAGAAGAAGAAACAATTCTACCTTGTGGAAATAAAAGTTTATATGACAAAGTGACAACAAAAGGTTTTAGTACTAAATATGTCACCCTATCTCATGGCATCTCAAGACTCTTTTGGGCTGGGATGGTTCAGCCAGCCCAGTTCACTTAATGTGTTCACTTCTGGTCCTATATAAGGCCAAATACGAGGCAGGCTGCTGTAGATAAGAGTTTTAGGGGTGTTTAAACACTTCTTTCTTCTATCGCTGATGGGGGGTGGGAACAAAGCTGTCTTTGTGCTAAAAAGAAGGACCTGTTGTTTCCAGATTCAACAGGTCATTTTTATAAGAACTTCCCAGAGGATATAACATAAATGACAGAAACACAAGGGGATATTTTAAGTGGCTGATGATTTTAAATGATATATAATCTGTATTAAGGGCAAGTTGTTTGCTTTTCTTTCCAGCAAATGGAAAGTTAACTGTTTTAGAAGTGTTTAATGTTAGAATTGAAATTTTTTAAGGGACTAAACCTTCTCTCATGAGTTGAACTACTATAATTTCAGCTCCTGAAACCAATCTGAGGGGTGTGCTTGACCCCTGGAGTCAATAAACTTGTCAAATCGTGTCCTTTTCTGTTTGGGGGATGAATGGTTAATTTAGTGGGCTCTTGAAGTGTGTATCTAAATCGTGTGTAACTATTCTAATACTGTTTCAGTTAAAATAAGGAGAATGAATATTTTATGAACTAAACTTTTTAAAATGGAAAATTCTAGCCACATGACTTTTCCTTGAACTTGGGAGGAAATTTTTTTTTAAAAAGCTTACTATGTTGTGGCAAAAAAATATAATCTAAACAATAATAGAACTAATGAGTTTACACCAGCCTTGTATGTATTGAAGGTAACCTGATTATGAGAAGATTGGCAACTTTAAGATTTAAATAATATTTACATACGATCTAAATAAGATTTACTGCCTCAACTGTATCCAAAGAGTTTCAGCAGTGTATTCGTCTCTACTTTTCTTTCTTTAAAAAAAAAGTTTGTAAAGTTAGATTATTTGAAGATCTTTAGAAAAGTCTACCAGAGGCAAAATCATTTCTCTCTATAAAGAGCAAGATCACATTTACCAAATTCATTCCTTACCCCCACAAAAGTTGTTACTAGGGAAGCCGTTATTTAAAACACGAAGAACCAAGGGGAGCCCGTACTGGCTGAAACATAGATTATCCAAACTACCTGGGCTCTCAGGAGCTTGACACTTTTACTAAGTCTCTATATTACACTCTACCTAGTACAACTATCTGGCAAAGGGTCAAGGTAAATAAATTCGTGATGCAAACACCATGTGGACCACAGGGAATTGCTCCAGAGATAAAGAGAAGAAGAAGAAGAAGAAGAAGAAGAAAAAATTCCAGCAGACTTTCTGCAGAGTGGCAACTTGGTAAGAAGAAACGGATTTTTTAAATTTTATTTTGGAAAAGACTTTAAAAAACTAGTTCCCCTCTAGCTAAATCCATGGGTACTTTCTCATAGGGGAGGAAAAATAGGTCTGTCTGAAAAAAAGGGACTTTCACGAATTAAAATCCCCAAGACATAAATTTCCCTCCCTCCACCCCCTCTTCCTCCCTCCCTCCCTCTCTCCCTCCTTCCTCTCATCCTCCACTGCCCTCCCTCAATGGAGAATGGCAGCCTCAACTTGGGAACGGTTTGTGGGGACCCTAGGTCTTCCGAAGCGGGGTGGGAGGCATACTGGAGGGGTCCCCAAGGCCTCTCCCAAGTGGGCCTCCCCCCTGCCCCGACCCATTCCCTCAACCCTACACCTCAGCCCGGCGCGCTCGCTCACCGGTACCAAGCGAGGCCCTTGTCGTAGCTGCGATCGAAGAAGTGGGGTTCGGCGCCCACGGCGCGCACGTCGGGGTGCACGCGCAGGAACTCCAGCAGCGCCCGCGTGCCGCCCTTCTTCACGCCGATGATGATGGCCTGCGGCAGCTGCTTGCTGCCTTCGTCCAAGAGTAGGGCCAGGGTTCCCGGCGGGGCCTCGGCCACGCTGCTTCCAGCCCCGGACCCTCCGGGACCCACCACCAGCCCGGGGGTCTCCTCTTCCCAGACCGTCTGGTCGCTGTCGTCGCGCGGGGCCGCAGGCCGGCGCTGCTGCTGCTGCCGCCGCCGCCGCCGCTGCTGCAGTTGCAGGAGGCGTTTTCTGTGCGTCGCCGCGGGCCACACCGCCAGCTCCCGCGGGCCTCCGGCCAGGACCCCGCGATCGGGGTCCCCCGCCTCCTCGCCGCCGCCCGACAAGCCCACGATGGGGCCGGACAGGGTCTGGCCGCGCTCGACCAGGCAGTAGAAGACGTAGAGGGACGTAAGCAGGGAGCAGAGCATGAGCAAGAACTTGCGGAAGATGCGGCGGGACAGCGGCTCGGCCGAGTTGGGGTGCGCGCCGGCGGGGCCCGGAGGGGCCATCCTAGCCGGAGGCGACGGCGGGCAGCGCGCGGGCCATGCTAGGCCGGGACTCCGCCAGGTGCCATCGCATCCCCCCGGCAGGCCCGGTCGCCGGACCGAGGCCACATCGCCCGTGCGTCCCTGTGGCGGTGCCAACTGCCCCGGGAGAGGCAGCGGCCGGGGCGCCTCCGGGGAACCAAGTCCGAAATGGGGAGGGGGGAGTATGGGAAGGGGGAAGGGGAGCTCAGTGCTTAGGAAACCATCGTCTTAGGTTCAGATCCTGCGCCTAAAGGGGCAGCGCTCGGCACCCGGGTCCCTGGGAGTCGCTGCCGTTGGGATCTCGGCGGCGGCGGTGGCGAAGGCGCGCGGCTCGGGCCGGCCCCGCGCAGGCTCTCGCGGTGCGGATCTCCACTCAGCGATCGCGCATCCCCGGCTCCGTCCCGGTGGAGGGGACACGCAGCTCCGGGCGCCTCCACTCGCTGCGTGCGCTCCGGACCGAGGCGAGCGAGAGACCGTGTTTCCCCAACTCCTGCTTGCTCTCGTCTCCTCGCTCGCCGGGGCACCCCCCCGCCCCTCTCCGTCCGGGCTCAGATCTTCTTCTCCACCCAAAGCCAGCTCCCCCGTTCGTCTCTCGGAGTGTCCCAGTGGGACGCAGCAGGCCTGCACCCCTTCTTCGTGCGCACCCGCAGGTTCCAAACTGCACTCGCGGGGTCCCCCCCACCTGTGAGTGACGCGGCGGAGAGCCCAGTTGTCTGGGATGGAGCGGCGGGCGCTCCCCGCCGCCGCCGCCCCCCGCGCGTGGGGCGCACAGGGGCAGCAAAGTTGTCGGTTACGTCAGCGGCCCGGGTCGAACCAGTCCCAGGACGCTCGCCACGGGGCGCGGACCCAGGGCGCAGGGGGGCCGGGCGGGTTGGGATGGAGAGAAGGTGGCGCGAGCGCCCGCCGCGGCCGCCCAATGGCACTGGGAGGGCGGGGGGAGGCTGGGGCGACGCCCCTTCCCCTCTGTTCTCCCGCCCCCCCTCTTCCTCCCTCCGGATCGCTGCTCCCCTTTGGAGCAGAGCGGTGCTTTGCTGTGGCTGCGAGCTTGTCTGACAGTTAAAAGGTGCTGAATCCCCCCCCCCCCCCACACACACACTCGGAACCTGATTTTCACCCCCGGAGCCTCTGGCTAGATTAGAGGTGATCAGACCTCTCCAACTCGGTGCAGCACTTTGCAGGCCGTGATCCCCGTTTCCAGCACCCCAGGGCTCTGCTTCCCTCCCAAGTCTCTTCCACATCCTCTCCTTCCTTTTCCCCTTCCAATCCTCGCTCCCGCTCCCGCATTGCCTTGAACCTCCTCCACCGGATCCCACACCTTCAGAAGTTTCTTTCGGGATAGTTTTCAGCCTTCTCGGTACCCCACGATCCCATCAGGATCAGGGGTGGGGGAGTGCAATGGAATTTTTCCCAGCACCAACTTTGCTTCTTCCTACTCTATGGCGCGCTCTTGAGTCTAACTCTTTCTTCGGTTTCAGTGTGTGTGTGTGTGTGATTTTTTTTCCCTGCTTCTTTTGATTTTTTTTTTCCTCCTTGGATTTATTGAAACTGATCGAAGGTCTCCCAGGACTTCGAAAGGAACAAGTTCTTGGGAAATAAGTCAATAACTAAATCAAAGGCGGGAATTAGTATGGGGGGGGTCTCTTAAATCAGCCCCCAATTCCAAAGCCCAGACTCAGTTTTGTGTGTGTGATGTGTACTTGAATATTGTTTGTACTGGTATATGTCTGTCTGTCTGTGTGTATGTCTGTGTGTGTGTGTGTGTACGCGCGCGCGCGCGCGCGCGCGCTTGCACGCACGCCTGCAATCAGGGGTTAAATGCCTTTTCCATAACCAAGCGGTTTCCTTTTTCTCTGGCCTTCTCTGACCCTATATCCTCTTCCGGTGCTCCCCGGAGAGCAGGTCAGGAAAGGATACCAACTGCCCGGCTAGTTAATGGAGGGAGGCGGCCCGTGGAGCCTGCAGGGGGTGGTTTTTGTTCAAGTCCTATTTGTTCCTTATTGCTGGGCTTCCTTGCTTTCCCCGGGACTCCAGGCAATGTGGGTGGTGGCCTGGCAGCTGCTTCATACCAACTCGGTGCCACAAGCCATGGAGTCTATTTTCTGGGCTCACTGAGGGTGCTCACAAAGGTCCTGGAAATTTTGCTTCCCCAACCTCGTGTCACCACTCCATCTCATCACCTGGATGTTTTGTCTTCACCTTGTGTCTATCTAGCCAAGAAAGCCGAAGTCAGGGAGATCCTTCCTTTTCCTTTCCTTTCCTTTTTTCTTTCGTTCCTTCCTTCCTTTCCCTTCCCTTCCCTTCCCTTTCCTTCCCCTTCCTTCCTTCCTTCCTTCCTTCCTTCCTTCTTTCCTTCCTTCCTTCCTTCCTTCCTTCCTTCCTTTCTCTCTCTCTCTTTCTTTCTTTTCTTTCTTTCTTTTTTTCCCAAACGGAGACTTCTTGGTTTGAATAGAGTTCATGTTACCTGTGCTCTGCTGGATGCTTATTGGCTACTACTATTGGTTTATGGTTACAAACTATCAATCGCACAGGCAACCCAGTCTACATACAACCACTGGTGATGAGCTGTTTTGGTTCTGCTGCTGGAAAGCTCTGCATGTTTACCAGAGTGAGCAAGCAGCAAGTGCTCCCAAGCTTCACAGTTCTCCCTTCCCCACTCCTCAAATGGGATATTGACAAGCCCATGGAAATTTAATGCTGACTTGGCATTGACGGTGTCTCAAAGTTGTTCTGGGGAGGAGGGCTGTAATCCTAGCTACTCAGGAGGCTGAGATCTGCAGATGGAGGTTTGAAGCCAGCCTGGACAGAAAAGTTGGGGAGATTCTCATTTCCAGGTGATAGTGAAAAAAAAAAAAACTAAGGACAGTGCCCAGAACTTGAGTTCAAGCCCAAGTGCACACTTTTGGGCACACACACACACACACACACACATCTTACATGCCCTTGTGATGCTATGAACACCCAGTGGGACCTTTAAGGGGGTGTTTAGCTCCTGTGGGCTCTACTTTCCTGAGAGAATTAAAGCCATCTATGAAATGTGTTAGTCATAGAAGGAGGAAACTTAGTTAGCTCTTCTTCTTCTCTGTCCTAGACTTCACTTGCCCTTCTGATTTCTCAAATGGGATGAAATGTACAGAACCATCCAGAAACCTGCTATCTGGCTTCTCAGTCAGCATCCTGCACCTCATACCACATGACTCCTTATTAGTTAGAATTTACCAAGTCTCTGATAGTAGCAGAAGTAGGTGAAGATGCCTTCATTCTTTTCATTCCAAGTCTTCAGACTCCAGGGTATAGTTTGCAACTGGGTTGGGTCTAGCCTCTTTTTTTTTTTTTCCTGGAGAAATTTCCCATTTCAGTTTGTTGGGTGGAAAACTCACATGCCAAAATTACTGTTACTACAAGCTGACAGTATATTCTGTAGGCAAAGATGAGATTTGCAACAAAAATTAGTTAATTAAGAAGGCTGACCTAATATCCATTTAACATTATATATATATGATATTTATTTCTAAATTTTTAATTTTTATTTGAAAATGCTAAAAATAGAGGGGTTATAGTTACTTAGACCAGGCAAAGAGTACATTTCCTTCCTCTCTCCCAGTTTTTCCCTTCCATCCACTCACAAGTTGTATAGTTCATTTTATTATTATTATTATCTTTAAGTAGTTTTACAAAGAAGTTCCCATTCTACAAAACAGTATATGAATACAAAGTGTCTGACAACATTGTCACCCATCTCTCCTAACCTATCCAGTCTCTCATTTTATTTCTTTAACTGAGATTAGGTGATTACATAATTTCACTTATTTCACAGAATTGTGGAATAATGATACTTAGTTAAAGTTATAAACACACTTTAATCTTCACAAAGCAAATTGTCATTATCATGTTCTATACAGTCTGTGAATTCTATGAGCTTTGACAATTCAAATTACTTTTTCCACATCAGGTGATGCTTACATTTCTTTCCCTTTGCTTAGTGTAGGCTGTTCCCACTTATTCTGTTCCTCCTCCTGGCTTCCATCCATTGCATGCATATGCATATCACATTTCAAATGCTCAATACCACCGAGGGACTAGTGGTTGCCCCACTGGACAGCTTAGAAGGTGATATTATTCTCACAGGAGACGTATATGTCTTGGGTGGTAGTGGTGGTCTCATTAGGAGACAACGCATTCCAATTAGGATAATTCATAGAGTTTATTTACAAAACATGTGCTTTTCAAAAGAGTAGCAAAGAGAAAGCCTAGATATTGTGCAATAGTTCTGGATGAATGGCATTGGAGCAATTACCATCCCTACATCTAAAGAGGTGAGGACCACCCCAGTTAGAATGGCTAAAATCAAGAACTCTAATAACAACAGATGCTGGAGGGGATGTGAACAGAAGGGAACCCTACTGCATTGTTGGCGGGAGTGTAAACTTGTTCAACCACTTTGGAAAGTAGTATGGAGGTTCCTCAAAAGACTCCACATAGAGCTCCCCCTATGACCCAGCAATCCCACTTTGGGGCATTTACTCAAATGTTTACAAACAAGACCACACTAAAGCTACCAGCACAACTATGTTTATTGCAGCACTATTTACTATAGCTAAGATATGGAACCAACCCAGATG